ACTGCTTTGGTTCCCAAACCTCTCCTCAGGGATTCCATGTATGCATCACAACCAGCTCAACTAATTAATTAATTTAAAATAGTTTAAAAAGTCAATGAGGTATTGATTAGCCATGAGGTTTGCTCATAATACAATAGTAGGTGTATTATATGGCTGCAGCAAATTTAAGAGGTTTTGAAATGGCTAAGCTGACACTTTCACTGACCACCATTTACAGAGGGGTGTCGCTAATTTTTAAACATATGATAATTATTGTAAAAAATATATATGGATCATCAACATTTTTAGATCGGTTTCACTGTGTAAATTGTCAAATGAGAGACACATTCTAATACGATGAAAAAGGGTGTTCTTGGGCCAAGAAGCCAAACAGCACGGGGCAGCGAAGCAGCACCACTATACTTCTCCCGAAACGCTGAGGTCCTCCTAGGCAAGAACATTGGTCATTCTGCACAATCACTAGATCCCAACACACTTCCTGCAACGTTCAGTAGCCGCAACACACAAGGAAAATCATCTCAGCAAAACACAAACCAAACATCCAGGACAAGTAAGCATGCAAAACATGAAAGTAGTTTTTAAACAGTTTCCCCATCAGTTATGCCTTGTTCGCGTTTCCTTTTAAGCAGTTCTTACGATTCACACCTTTACATTTTTACACACTGCCTCTAGCTTACAGCCCTCCTCTGCCCACTTGTAGGGGAAGCAGCCTGATCAGTCACCATGAACACTTCCAGCAATCTGGGCCGTGCTACTGAGGAGCCAATCAGGAAAGCCTCGGGGAGTACAGCTCAGCCAATGAGGTTGCCTGTCTAGGCCCAGGTGGGCCACACAGAGCGTGTTAGGGAGGCCTGTTCCCCACGGGGACCCTTCAATTGAAGTGTCTCCGATAACAGCACTTATCAGCCTCTTCTATCTACTACCCCCTCGGGGACTCCAATCTGTGACACGTGATGCGGGACATTCATATATCCATCTGGGGGGCGGGGCCTAAGCAGCTGCGGTCCGGAGGAGAGGCACGCGTCGGGCCCTCTGGGAAAAGCCAGGGACGCGGCAGACGGTTGGGGGAAAGGTGGGCAACCAAGACCCAGGGGACATCCCCCAGGGCCTCGTCCCATCCTCTCCCACTTTCACTGGTTTTGACAAATGCATCACGCAGACTAACGGGACGCCAGCTCACCTCTGTCTCACCATTGTAAACTGCGGCACAATTACCGTCGCCTGTGCCCATATTCACTGCTGGGGGTCCAAATGTCACCCATCTGGTGGGGTCACACCCCTTCTAAATCTCCCACCTCATATTCATTACGAGCTTGGACAAATGGGGCTATTAGAATATCGACAACCAAAGAACAAGCAGTCAGGGTGGAACGACCCGCTGAAACATTTAATTTTTCTTATCAGCATGATCAAATGTTTCAAAGCAGCAGACAGCCTCCTGTGAAATGTACACTGTGGCTTAGAGTCGTTTATGCGGACGCTGAACAAGGGAATCAGAGACACACAGAGCATTAAGCACAGAAAGCCATCCCAGAGCGATTTTTACTGTGGCTGGCTAATTCTCTGTGATAAAGGCATGGACACCACACCGCAGCCAAATTAAAAAGCTACCAAATCAAAACTCGTGCTGAGAGATGCAAAAAAACAGCTACAAAAACTACGCAATGCTGAAAAAATCTTAACAACGTCTGGACTACGCAGCAGAGGCCTCTGAAGTTCTGGGGCCCTCTGATGTTCTGGGGCCGTCTTAGAAAGCTGGTAAGGGGCCTCTAGACAGAGGGGAAGCAGAGATGTACAGTAGCCAAGAAAGGGGCATGTGGTTGCTGGTTGATGGCAGAAAAAGGTGACGAGACTAAAGGGAGCCTTTTGTTCCCGCCTCCATCAGAATCCACCAACACAGGTAAACCAAATGGACAGAGCTTAAGCTTAACCAATCAGCATCCTCCACGTGGAGCTGCACCCCACACAGCTAAAAGGACAGGTACACCCTGCTATAACTTAATCATAACCCCCCCCCCCCCCCCACCACCAAACCACTGCATCCCTCTAAAGTGATTGTGTTCTGCTCATTAAACAGCTGAAGTGTTTAATGATCCGCGTCGTTCGATGGCGGGTGGGGGGGGGGGCAGTAAATCGTGGCCCCGCCACCACACCCCTGCCTCATTTGAGGGCCGTAAAGAGCATGCGGGACGGAGATGAAAAGTAACTGAGATTTACAAGCCCTTCTTGGGCCGCAAAGGAGAAAATTAAACCCTGGTCACATTAGAGAGACACCATTAAAAAGGGCTCTATGCCTCTGTGTGAACTAATAAGTGTCTGGGAGCCACCGAAGGACCAAGAGCGACCAAGAGCAGCTCGGCGCCGCAGGGACTCGAACACACTCAGGGAGCCAAAGAGCAGCTCGGCGCCGCAGGGACTCGAACACACTCAGGGAACCAAAGACCAGCTCGGCGCCACAGGGACTCGACCACACTCAGGGAGCCAAAGAGCAGATGCCACCCAGTGTCTGAAGTAGCACGTCACAAGGTTTCCGTCTGCTGGTGCGCATGGATCTAATGAAGGTCATTGTCATGCAATGGTGAGGATTTTAATTTAAGTTACTGACTTAGTGGGCCAAGCTGAGTGTGACAGAGTTGCACCCTTAGCCCGCACGACTTCCAGGAACAAAATACAATTAATTCACTGAGCTGAAGATCAGAGTCTTCAGCAATGAAAACTAATTCAAGCTTTGCTATGGATACATTGGCTGACATGCCCACTGCATAAAACTCCAAACAGATGTTGATATTTAAATGAAAATTAGTTTTGAGCAATAATAACGAGAGTCACGGCGGCTCAGTGTTTAACACCTACGCCTCCAAGTCCAACTGGTGTTTTCAAATTTTCAAATAGTGTGTGAGTATGTGTGTGTGTGTGTGTGTATATATGTGTTCTGTGATGGACTGGCATCCCATTTAGGAAGCCCCCCCTGGACAGGCTCCAGTGCTCCCCTCAACCCTAATCAGGAGGATAAAAGATGGATGGATGGCACACAGACAACTCATGATAATATCTCATAATTAAATGACTGCAGCTACTACGAGGTTAAAATACTCCACCCTGTTATTAATTTTACAGAATACTAATTTAAGTGTTAAATCTTGAGGTCCAAATCACTTACAAGTTCATGAACACAATCCCTTCCAGGAAAGTGGTCGCGAACCAATTTGTATGCGAAGCAAGGCAAGTTTTCCCATAAGAAAGCACTGAAAGTCAACTAATTCGTTCACAAGCCTACCAAATAATAATTTTTGTTCATTAATTTGCTGGTTTTTATAGTAAAAACTTTAAAGAAAAACACAATATAGGGTGGCGACGGGCGGATCGAGGCATCGCGGGAGCAGAGAGAGACATGGAGACTTGCTTGCCAGGGAAATTACAGTCTTTATTAACAGTCCTTAACCTTTGTATTGCTGTTGCTGTTAAGGTTAATGGTTGCGCATTTCCTTATTGTCGCGCGTGTGTTTGCCCGTGTCTTGTGTGTACCCGGTCTGATCCTCGCGTGTATTTAGCATGTGTAAATCATCCTCCGTGTGTGCATCTTGCAGTTCGGCGTCTGACAACCTTGTGTTTCCCGTTTGTGTATTTGGGTTCGATGCTCCTTAGGTGCCTGTTGTGGTCCTTCTATTTACAATTGCACGTGGGGCATGCTGGGACATGCACCCCGCCGATGATACTCTAGTATTAAAAAAAAGGAATCTGGTCGAGGAATGTGTTCGTCGACCAAATTTTGTACGTGAACCAATGTATTTTTTTCACTAAATTTTTGGTCGCGAACCAAATTGTTTGAAGACCACAGCATTCGAAAACCGCAGGCACCGCTGTATAATTGTGGAAAACAGCGATAAAGTAAATTGACTCCATAATAAATAAGATCACAATAGCAACAATTGTAAACCAGACAATTTTATCAGTTACGGTCTTATTAATAATTACTATTATTTTGGTCAATTAGGGAAGCAGATAAGATCCTAACCTGGTAAAGAAGTCCTACAAAGAGCCAACTAAACACCTCTAATTGAAACTTGGCAAGGCTGTAATGATGGACTTTAAAAAAAAAACAAAAAAAAAAAAACCCTACAATCTTCTGAAGTGCTATCATATCTCTAAGAATAACAAAGAGCTCAGAATGCTCTGTGAATAATGACAATTAAGAGGGATTTCCACAGCTAAGCAAATTACTGTAATAAAGGTCCTTTCTCATAACACGCCACAGGTTTGTCTCCTTGACAAGATATATCCATCCTCATGGCTAAGGGCAAATCCATAGGCAGTGTTAGACAGGTTTCAGAAACACAAAGCAAAGAGTCACAGTCAAACACTCATTTCCCCAGCAGGACAATCAAGTTTGCCATAATCTGTCCCGAAAAGCCTGGTTTAATCAACCAGCCTTGATGGAATTTGACAAATCTGCAGCGAGATTTCAACTGCAGTACAACTCCAGGAGGCTGTGGAGGTCATAAGCAATATTTTGATTTAGATTGGAAGGTTCATCTCCTTTGCATGTGAGTGTAGACACACTCAAATGAACCCAAAGCCCACCTGCACTGCAAAATGACTAGGATACAAGGTGCATGACATCATCAAAAAATATTTACCATCAAAGGTTTTTTTCTCCAGATTACCATTATGTCAGAAAGCAACAGCCAAGTGTTCCATCTGTTCCTTTTAACAGCATCCCAAAATTTACTTCAGCACCCAAGCCCCTCCCAGTTGATTTCAATTAGGGGTGAGCAACAGGACAGCGAAGGTTAAGACAAGGCCCTGCATGTCAAACTTAAAGCTGATTAAAGAAGACCAAGGTGGCAACATCACATGGGCTGTAATTGAAATCTTAATGCTAACTGACATAATCATGTACACTAAGGCTATCAGTGCCACCCAGTGGCTATAACAAGCGTTACAGCTTGCATGCACACCTAGAAAATGGACTGGATGGGATGGGATGGGATGGAACTTACATTCCTCCAAACCAAGTTGGTAGGCCAGGTTCTGCAGCCCTTTCACCTTCTCCATCAGGTTGGCTGTGGTCAAACTCCCCAGCTCTGCAGTGAACGGAATATCATGCAATAACGTTTTTACAAAAAATTAAATACTTACCAATATATTAGTAAACGCAATCATTTAAATTCCCTAAAAGGTGTCATCTTAGAAAACGCTTGAAATTATATATATAACTGTCAATAAAAAAAGCAAATGGATGCATGAAACCCAAAACTGTCCTGAAGATAAAATTGCTGGATTCTCACCATGAATTTACTGTAAAGATCATAAGTGTCAGCGTTTACCTTTCAACATCTCGATGTCATCATTCTCCAATTCTGCCATCCACTTCGGGGGGGAGTTGGTAATTGGCTACAAGAGCGAAAATTGTGAAATAGCTATTTTAGACTTATTTATAAATTACTCTGTGGAGATAAGTGGGAGGAGGTATATAAATTCACCTGCCGCGTACAAGGTCGTACGAAACCCACTTACGCTTTTAAAGGAAGCTGCAAACTCAGCCACTCCCGGCACTGCAAAAATAAAACTCCCATTAGAAACCCACACAAGACATCTGTTCTCGAACGGTACATTCCTGCCGGTTAAAAGAGAAAGCCATCCAATAATGTCACCCGGCTGATCACTTACACTGCTCCGGCCACAGATCAGGCGAGGCTCTGTCCAGCTTTTCAAAGCTCAGCAAAGAGGACTCAAAGTCATCATCTTCCAAAGCAAGAGAGATCAATTTGATACGGAACGAATATTTTTTTCATCTTGGTGTTACAACTCAAAAATAATACTAAATCTATAGTCAGATGCATTTGATCTCTCTTTATCTGGCTGCAAACATACAATACAAAAAAATCCGTAAACAAAGATTATTTTTGAAAACAAACGCCTGGCCATCTGTAAGAATAGACAATAATGGAATAAGCTTCAAGGTCGACAAAGGAAATGAAGGCTACTGTAAAAATAACGTTACATCCAGCAACGTGCAGTAACGTAAATAGCAGTCATTCGATCATTTACTGTGAAGGATGTACGTTTCTGGCCTGTTACAATTAATAAGAAATATATGACTATAAGTATTTACATGGTTGCATAGCAATTATGGGTCTACAAATAGCAAAACAAAACACTGACACAGCCAGAAGCGAACAACTACAAAATATCGTTCCATAAAAAAATCTCTTTCAAAAATCTTTGAAAAATACCGCGAAGCAGTCAATGAACAATTTATTGAAGATAAGCTGGATTACAAAGCCATTTTTTTTTTTTGGAAAAATACGGCGGACAGCAAACACAGGAATTAAAATTTACCTCCACTTGGAGACGCCATCTTAACAATGTCACATGATGCCCGACAACCAATCGGCGGCCACTCGTACGGTATTGGGCGTCCTCCTGTCGGTCACGCCCTGCGGCGCGAGCAGAAGCGCGTCCAATTTAACATTACAGTAGGTCATATAACTTCCAGTGCAGTTGCACTATTTTTGTTTTACTTTTAATTTCCTTTCGTATGCGTAATGCAATACATGTTCATGCGTGCGTAGTGTTTTAGTTCAGCTAATTTCCGAAAGACAACCATTTGTAATACAGCTGTAACAGAAACTACCAGGTGAAAAAAACGACACAAGATCGCGTTAATTTTTAATAAAATTTATTTTTTAAAAAAACTAATTTTGAATCTTAGTTCGGAGTTCTGATGGAGAAAGAAGTCTTAACTCACATACACATCTTCCAGAAACATGTAGTGAAAAAGCAACAGTACAGTATTTAAAAACTATGAAAACTTACTATATTTAAATACATCACTCTGAAATTCCCGTGAAACAACAGTAACCAATATTCTGTGAGTACGGACTAAACATAGCAGCATTAATACAAATAACAAATACACTAAGAAAAAACACTAAACAAAATACTAGAAATACTACTTTAGTTTTTAGTAATACTAGAAATACTACTTTAGTTTTTCAAGTCCGAAGTCTTTCTAAAGGCACTTAGCTGGATATTGCACGTTTTTGTAAACTGCAATTTTAAAGGCAATTCTAGAGCAGTGATTTCTCAGATTTCTAAGTATGTCGGTTAGGAAAAAAAACGACTTTTATAAGCTATCGTGGGTCTTCAGCTGCATAAAATGAAAGAAAATAGGGTATCAGAAATGCTTCATTTTGCAACTGATCATACCTTTGCACAACACTGAATATGCAATATGCGTACCAAGGCATGGTATAGAAATACCTTATGACTTAAAAGCTGCTTCAATTTCAGGACAAATCTGTGTCTGACAGACACCCAAGCAGAAAGCTCATGCTTGGAATTCTCACATCTCTAACACACTTTACAGGTGCAACTTCTAGACCTACAATCATTACTTAAACTATAAGAGTAATGTATGACGAACACTAAGATAATTCCTGTGCGGAAGTTCGGGGTCTTTGCTGCTGCTTTTTGCAATAAACAGTCTTCTTGTTGTTTTTAAAATTCCCAGGATTCCATCCACCTGAGGCCAGCCATTGCACTGGCTGGGTCATGGGCTAAGGGGCCTCTCATGCCGTAGGAAAGGGGGTGGAACAGGTAAAAACTGCAGTGTTGGGAGAACAAAGATTGTCATTATTAGAGTCAACTTAAAACTTATATGTACCCAATTCCTACAATTCAATAGGACCTAAATGTCTTCACTGATCAGCCAAATCCAATCATTTTTTGTCTAAAACCTTCTGAAAATATAAGCTACGAAAAGGAAATTAGATCAAATTAAATTTAGTCTTTAGAAGCTTTACTGACTTGTATCATTATATTTCATTATAGTTCAATGCATTAGCCTTCTACAAGGCAGGGGCTTAAATTTGTGGCTTTTTTTTTACTTCTGGATATTATTAAAGCCATTCAGATTATTTGGTTAAGGTTTATCTGTTGCTGTGTCAGACAAATGGCCACTAGGTGGCAGTGCAGTTAATACTCACTCACCTGTAGATAAAGGCTGCGAGGAGCAGGCCTTGTGCCACTCTGTGCAGGTGGCGGGCCACAGCAAGGGGAAACAGTAGATCTCCACACTGCAGCAAGATGTCCAAGGTGATGCCTGAAATACAGAGACGAGAGCCATTCAAAGGCATGCCCATCTGGTCAGTGCGGATTACAGGAAGGAGGAGGGGCGCCGTCTGAGACCTGTGAGCATGCTGCTGAAGAGCATGGCGGGGAAGTAGTGGTGGTAGTAGAGGATGCGGCCCATGGTGTAGAAAGGCAAGTAGTGCAGCAGCCAGCCCAGAAACAACAGGCCCCCTCCGTCCAGCAGCACCTGGCAGCGCTCTGCAACACAGGAGCGTGGCTGTGGGCAGGAATAGGTCTCAACCAATCAAATCCCCTCAGGGGATACGTGGATAGATACCCTGCCCTACCTTGACTCCTACCACCAAGTTGAACCCCTCTTTGGAGCAAAACAGCAGCAGTAGTAGCCATCAACAGGTACAGGCCAATGCTGAGCAGGTTCAACCACCAGATCACCTGCCAAGGTAGGGGAGCGGAAGCCTTTCTGAAGATGGACCTAAGAAAGCACCCAGACTGGGAGCTGACCAGGTCCATCACACTCTGCACTGATTTCAACCCTGCATCCTCTTTATAACATTTCATAGACTTCTGAAGTCTGAAGAGATGGTCCTTATATGTTGCCAATCTTTCAAAAGGAAAACACTGTGCTTTGGTAACACAGACATCTACCATTGTGCTCTTAGGCAGAGTGAGGGAGGCTGAGACACTTACAGGGTTCCCCAGCAGGTACACTCGATATTCCGTTTCATTCACTCCAGAGAACCTCAAGCCCTCAAAGGAAACCAAAGGCTGGATTATGAACATTTCTGCACAAGCCGCAAGTCCCGTAAGTCTGACCACGACACGCCATCTACCTGGTAGTTAACAGGCCAATGCCAGGGTTTGGAACTGGATTCATGGTCTTTGGGTTTCAGTCCGCTGTTGCCCTAACCGAAGATGACAACATTCAAGAAAGTATTCAGCGTTTGGTGAAGACAGTCATCAAGTAGCCAAAGACATCAAGTTTTCACCCTGAGCTCACCCTGATCATGACGATGTGAGACTCCACAAGGATCTCCAGGAATGATGGCTTCAGCAGTGACAGGCTGATATTGGGCACTGTGGAAAAGCGTGCATGTACGCACAAACACAGCAGTACTGCACCCACTGCCTTTACAACAGACAGCGACAAAGCCTTACTGACAGGAGCTTGGCAGTACAGAGAGAAGGATGCATGAGAGCTTTAACTGGAATACAGTTGTTGGAAACCATAAGAAGCATATGACCAGTGGGGTACAAAAAATTGCTACAACAGGGCAATACTGCTTTACATTGTGAAGAAATGCTGATAATTATTGCTCTGTAGACTAGAAATAACTGACCAATAATCTTTGACCACTGCACCAAGAAACATCACACCACAAAGTGAGAGACTACCAGGTATTTAAAAGTATTGCTACAGTAAAACAGCCAAGCCTACACTTGTGGTTGATATGGTCCTCGATGTTCCACTGGGAGTTGGGGGTCTCCTTCAGGTAGGGGCTGCATGTCACCTCCACCTGTTCCCAGCCCCTGGTCAACAGACAGACTCACGATGAGTAAGTCTCATGAACCACAGCACAACTCTTCAAGGGAAGAGCCACCTAATAATAATAATAATAATAATAATAATAATAATAATAATTATTAGGCTCCTCCTCATTCTACCGGTAACAGTTGGGTTGTTTTAATCCTATATGGGATTTAATCCATTTACAAAGGAGCAGTTCAGTTTGAGCACCTTCCTACAGCAGGGTCCCTCACGAGCTTCAAACCAACAACCTACTGGTTACATATTCATGCCCTCTACCTACTTGCTGCTACGTATCCATATGAAACTATATTACACAACCTAAATACCCTGTTTGTTTTCTGATTTCACTTATTTTCTAATTTGTTTATACTATAGAAATACTTTTTTTGTACATTAGTTTATACTGCACGCATATCTATACAACTGCCACATGGATTTCCCCCTTTTAAATATTCTAATTACAAAATGAAGATTTTTTTAAATAATTTGGTACACTATCATTAGGATTTCCATAAATTTTATGCAAACTAAAGTTTTTAAAAAAAGGTTCGAGTCATTCTGTTTTATCCTTTTAGACTCCCTTTAGACTTATAGTTTGCCAAGTTCACCCCTGTCAGGATCAGCAGATGTGCAGGTTAATGACCCATAAATGCGGTAGTTCCCGGCCGCTGGCCCCCCTCACCATTTGGGCAGTGTCTTGCCAGTGGAGTAGAGCACGCAGCCCGTGGCTCGGTGCAGGAAGCGCACCTTGCTCCGCAGCACCTTGACTGGGTCGCCCTGCCGGCCCCCGCACACCTCCACCTGCCACAAATCATTGGGGTCTCCAGTCCCATTCTGCAAGGGCCAGAAGATCCATTGGTCCCTGAGAAACTTAACCCAATGTTTCCAAAAGGCTACCACTGGGTTTCCATTAAGCTAAACCAATCCATAACAAGCACCAAACTGGGGTTTCCAAACCTTTCATATCCACGGACTGGTTTATGTGGTACCTTATTTTTATAGATAAGTGAAACACCCGGGATCAACTGTCGATTTTATAAGTTTGACCATTTCTACTTTTTTAGACCAGGCTCATTTTTACCAAGGGGGGGGGGGGGGGGGGGCCCCCCAACAAAAAAATCTAAAAAGGGGGGGGGGGGGGGGGGGGGGGGGTCCACCAACGATCAAATCTGCAAAGTGACTGGGGTGGTGGGTGGGATACAAAATGCGTACGAATATATGAGACATATCCCATTTTTCATGGATCAATACAGCATTTTATTTTTCAGCATGGGACGATGCCGGAATATACTCAACAGGAGGCAACTCTACCCCCAGCTCCTACAGAAAACAGTCAGATATCTCATCGACATCACCGTTTGCAATTTTTACGCCTCAGTGCTTATCTTCACGAAAACAGTAATTCTCCACCCCCAGTACGACACTGTGGGTTTTACAGGTCATGACCATCACCACGGAGATGAGACATCCTCCTACTTACAATGCCATAGCCAGTGACCTGCAGGTGCTTCTTGGTCAGTGGTGCTTTGTGGAGGTGGCTGTGCAGGAAACGAGTTGTCCTACAGTGAAACGGAGAAGCATCATTAAAATCTGTCTTACCATTCCATGGACCAATAAGTGGGAAGGAATGGCTTCCACAGACCAATGACAGTTGGAGGGTGTGGCTTACTCTTTGTGCTCCAATCGGATGACGTCGCCATGGCGAACAAGGTCTGGCGTTCGAGACAGATCTGAAACACAGACAGGGAAAAGGTTGGGACAGCAGTGCTTGAAATTCAGTCTGCAAATGGTGA